CCAGTCTAAAATGTATATATATGATATAATACTTGGAGATATACATACCTACTTTTTAAAAGATAACTTACAAGTAAATGTGTTTTGCTTGTTTCCACTCCACCATTCAACTTTCAATTCGAAAGCAAAATCTGATATGCCACAATTTTGATCAATTTACACTTGAAGTACAACACATCTGAAACTTTTAGATAAAGGTGAGTTTCAGCTTTTTTACTAAAATACGTGCAAGGTATTCTGCTCTGTGAATATGTTGTTTTAACAATTTGATTCTTTGTTTTAATTGGTGTGATAATTTGAATGGTAATTAATGTAAAATCTTTAAATTTAAGTAAACATAAATCACCCGAAATGTTACCAATAATACAATATCAAAACTGTATCAAATGACGTATTTGTGTATTTTCAGAGTCTTGTGAGGAGAAGACCCCTGATGATTTAGCATTTTTAGGACATATATACAAGTGGATGCAACAACGTAGGACACGTTATCTTGAATTTACACCACAAGTAAGGTCTAATGACGATAGTGTTATTCAGATTTGTGTATAAAACTCTTACTCCATGGAAATTTCCCAAAGCAAACAAAAAAGGAGAGGACTGAACAAAACATTGAAAACTTTTTAAAAATGGCTCTTTGCTATACGTTGACACCAACAAATATATCTTTTCTATTCATGTTCATATCTAACTACATAACTTACAAGAATCACATTCTGATCATGTGTCTAAAGATGTCTAAAGAAACAATGAATTTGATTTTACCGATTTCGTCTGAAGCATTTGTAATATAAATCGAAGTAATTGTAATGTATATTGATAAAGTGTACATTTTTATCATTGCAGGGTACTGGATCCGACAACAGAAGCGGTAGGACATTTGTACATATCTTACATACAAAAGTCCTTACGTAACCTGCTTGCCACGTTTTAATTCACCCAAATAGTGGAACGGTTTAGAAAGCACACATGTACTTGACGCTGTTCTAAAATTCTAATAAGTTCTCCCTCTGTTTGTTATAGATTTGAATAGATATACCAACAGTAAATCAAATTCAAAGTTCATATAACAGAAAGGTGTGTAATCCTGGAAAGGAAGATTCATAACAAGGAAGTTGTAATCTGTACACATTTTTACTGCTGACTGGTAATAAAAGTGTCATTGATTTACCATTCCGAAGGTTATAGATGTAAAATAAACACAATCGATAAATGATGTGTTCACAGACAACACATTATCAATATATATTCAAATTTTCAAAGTGAAATGAAAGGTTTTGTTAACACCAATAAACCAACACAGGACGAGCCTTTGTGGCGAATCCGTTTACAATTTATGTCATGTGATAAAACGTTATGAATGGAACTCAATACATAACTAAATACATGCATTATTAGACTGTTCCCTCCGTTTCTTTGTAGTTAACAAGTTGACGATACATATCGATACATGTAAACATATGACTTTCTTATTGTGTATTTCATGCTTCACATAAGATACATATGGGATTCTACATCAAATTCAGGCAAGTTTAAGGAAATTAATTCAGAAGCTTTTCTTGTTGTCTGTTGCAACCTTAAGCAAAAAGCGTATTTGAGACATTTTATTATTTAATTCGAATATGTGTGTGTCTTTGAGCTGTTTTATGTAAAAATTTAAGAACAAAAAAAATCATCTGGACGAATTACGTTAATATAAAAAAAAACATATAGAGAAAGGGAGCATTTGAGAACATCGTAAGTTCAAAATAGTTTTAAAGCCAGTAAAACCGCATAATGATTGTCCCCATTTTATAGACGTATATGATACAGAAGAAGATGGTGGAGCAGCAGATATGGAAAGCCAACCACTATTTTTCCAGGATCCGTCGCAAAGCAGAACAGATCCCAAAAAGTCACCAGAATTTCTTCGCTTCCTCAACAAAATTCTTAGGTGTAAGTATATCATTTGGAATCGCATGCCGATAATAATTCTGCCAGTTAGCAAACATGCCAACGTACTTTTTATGTAAGCTTTTATGCTAGTATGAAAAAAAAACTTTCTTATTGCAAACTAAATGAATGCGCGTATATTCCAATCAAAGCTTATTACTAATTTCTTAGACAGGCTTCAAAATAGTGAGTGACACATAAATATATAAATTTGATAATTTCATGATCGATTATTTTCTATTAAATCACTACGCATAGCAATTTGTGTGATATGACGTGAGGTCAATGACAGCTGATTCGCGCCAATTTCATTCATTAGAAATCCATTCATGAGTGGGTCAGTCACATTTTGAACGGAAATATGTAAAAGTATAACATAACATATTTTCCCTTGATGAAGCCGTTACTTGTTCGTTGTTTAATGTTTGTGTGCATGTATTTTGTAGGATATTTGAAAATTTTCATAATGTTGCAATCCGTGTTTGTTTGCATCATTGAATGACAGCAATCACACACCAGATGAATTTTAACAAATATTCCATTCATACAAAAAAACAAGTTCTAAATGTTAGTTTCTTATTTTCAGTGAAAGTTGTCAATCCAAAATATATTTTTATGTATTGAATTAAATAAAGGGGTGTATAAGTACAAGACAACCACAAAAAAAAGATTCATTAATATAACCTTGTAAAAATTATCGTAGCATTTGTAAATGATGTCATAATTGGCGATGTTTCGGTAGCAAATCAAGCAAAGCGTACTGTTGCCCAATTTGATAGAAAGTTAAGATGGTAGATTTAATCAAGTTTTAAATATGCCACCTTTTTGTATTTTGAACAGCACATAACTGCCTTCCAGGCTTCCCACCAGGATATGTTCAAGATGCCACTTCACAACCAGGAGTCGATGGTTTGTATAAAGTCATAGATAACTTCAGGATCCATTGCTTTCTGTATTTGTACATCAATTTGTCCATTGACTAACAAACTCGAAATAAGGGGTTTCAAAAGATGCAGGAAGAGGAGAGCAAGAGGCACATAGGCCTTAACGGTCACCTGTGTTGATTTTTTATTTTAACATATAACAAGCACAAACTTAACAAAACTGCCTTATCCAATATCTAGCATAAGGATGAAAGGCTGCGTGGTATTCAGAGGATTTAAAAGAAATTTTAACAAATCCAACTCTGAAGACCCAGCATTGGCGTTTTTTTTTTTTAAATAACAACGAAATTCCAACCTGTTTTATAATTCCAACTTAAAAAGAATACAAATACTCAAATATTTGACCCTTATGACCTAGTAAGAAGGTCAAGGTCATTTATCTGAACACATTTGGTAGCCCTATATCGCACTGTGCTGCACGCCAAATATCAGAACTTTAGGTACATTAAAAACTTGAAACTTGATAATAACAGTTTTTTCTTAAAAAATCAAAACATCAGTTTTTGCCAGTAAAGCCTCAATAACATTAAGATAACATATCCTATACATAAGATCTTGAGGTGGACTTGGCTCCCGATTTACCGGATGAAAGTTCAAGCAGAGTGCAACCAGAACCTGATTTCTGTGGACAGGAGTTGTATGAAAACGAACAAAGCAAACCAAGAAAAGTATACATAAGTATTGGAACACTAAAACGTAAGTTAAATTATTACAATTAAATTCGTCTGATTATTCAGGACAATATATAGTATCTGCTACAAAATTTGAGTATCATTGAAGCGAGCAGTGATTTTAAGGAAGGATAATATGATATAATTGAATCCATCAGATGATATCGCAACTATTGACTTAAACATAATTATTAATAATTCTTGTTGTATATGATACATTGAAAACTACGTACAAAAACAAGGTGTAAGTTACACATGCGTGTACTTTCCTTATTACAGAGAACGAGATGAATTTTGGAAACGTCAGGTATCTGCTACAAGCACCAGCTGCCGACAACGTCCTACAGATGGGATATGAGGAGAATGCCGTTCTGCAAGCGATATCTAATTATACACGATTTTACGGTAAGCTAAGCATATATATATATTTCTGAGATAAAACACATAACGCTGATTGCCTTTCCTTTTATTTTGTCAAAATAAATACATAATATCACATAAAATGATAGCATTTTAATTTGTCTTTTCATTCTTTTTCAGCCAGTGTGGAATTTGATGTTAACGACTTATTAACTATTTTAGAAAAAGAATATCTTAAACCAATACAGATGTCCAATGCTAGTACCAAGTAAATCTTATATGACTGTATATGTTCAGGTACGATGGCCGATAATGGCTCATAAAAGTAAAAGTTGTTCTGTTTGACATTTTGCCAATTCATGCGGGACAGTTTACACTTTAACTTTTACAAATTAAACATCGAGGAGAAGAAAACTAAGGTAAACTTGGACTTAATCATGAAATCTAAACTACGATCACTCTTACATTCTTACACATTTCTGCAGATCCGTTCGCCCAAGGATATTTTAAGTAAAATTTGGTCGAAATATTTTCATTGCAACAATGAAAGATATATTTCAAAGATTACATCAATATACCTAAGTGGAACACTAATCCTGGGGACGGTGAGATTCGTCATTTCTACAAAATTAAATTCATAGAGAGCTTCTACCAAAGGTTTGGATGGTATTGATCTTATATATCCATATATTCAAGTGACAATCTGCCCTCATTTCGTTCGCAATCTATGCACAATTGGTCACTTATACGATTTTTTCCTCAAAAAATCAAAGTGTTACTGTTTCATATTCTTCACAAAATCGTTGTCTCAATATCAACCTCTCATGAATATCAGCTTTATGTAAATAAACTTATAAAGCGATTCATTGCCAAAATGAATAAATTGAAACATGGTGTCCGTTGTATTTGTATTCTTAACAGAATGTGTAGAACACCATGAGCGTTTAAGCTCTTAAAGGTAATTTAAAGAATATTAAATACTGAAGTAAATATATTAAATGCAATATACTTATTCTGTCCAATATCTTTATATTTGCTTACTGTTTCAAATGAGAATAATGTCTTTCCTCCATTTTTGAGTAAATCCTGAGAATTAGAATCCAATCTGTTGTTTCGAAAACATAAAGCCAAGGATCTGGAAATAGATGATAATCTATAATTGACATTTGATTAAAAGATTTTAAGTAATGACAATGCGAATTCCTATCAATAATGATATTATCCATCGTACTTATACTCATAAATATGGTAGTAATGATCTATTCAAACGGCAACCTATCGATTACCTTTAAATTTATTCCATTGGCTGAGGTTTTTGTCGAATGAATATCAAGCCAATATTAACAACTTAATTTGCATATCATTATATGTCATAATTTTGATTTCTTTAAGTCTGGTATTGACATATGATATAATAATGGTATTTAATAATCATTTGACATCTACCGTAACACTTGAAGTGTAATAAGGAAATGTAATAATGTCATGGCATTTGTTCTTTGATAAATTAAGTATACATGTGATATATCAACAAGAACATTGCAAAGACAAACAATAGAAATGGCAAAGCAACAAACTCATACTCATGTGATCGCATCTATGGTCCACTATGGTAACAACATTGTTAGAATTTGTGTTAAATCTGAAATCAACTTGATAGAATGTTTGAAGTGAGTGTTGCGATGGAAAAACTGTGCAAACTTTCGGTTTTTTTTTATTTTTTTTTATGTTTGTTTGTTTGTTTAGGGCTGTCGATTTACGTTTTCTATATATTATATACTTAACATGTATTGCCTTTTTCAGATAATTGTGAAATATTCAAAGGTGGAGCATGTGTCTCTTTTATAAACAAGAATAAAGACAATGCATGAATTTCATATACCTTTCTACTTGTATTTAATAGTAGCAAAAGAGATAGCGAAGACATCTTCAAAAAGTGCACTAAATATATATACAGTTAGAATAAAGAAACGCAACGTCTTTCATTGTAAAATATTTTGTGTTGAATATACAAAATAAGAGGGAAATTAATGCATCTTACTTAATCCCCAAAAAATATTTAAAGTCCATCATCCGTAACAAAAATTGTCCACATACGCTACGCCTAATTCACCATGACTGTACAAATGTTTGCGTTGTTTTCCATTCATACTTATGTCGCTTTTTGACTATCACAATCAATAATCGCCAATTCATTTGAAATCAATAGTTGTTTTCACAAATATGCCACGGCTATCCCAACTTGCTAGAGGATTAGCTCTTGCAATGCTCAATGGAGGTAGCAGTCAACAACAGGTCGCTACTCACTTCGGAGTTCACAAATTGACTTTAAGTCGATTTATTTAACGCTACAACGTCGAGAGAAGAAGTGATGAAAGGCCGAAATCAGGCCGTCCATGTGTAACGTCGCCAAGATCGGTTTATTAAGCCTGTTAACTTGCGTGACAGGATATTAATGACAGCTGAAGCGGCACGAACTACACTTGGTAATGTTAACCGTCAAATTCACCAAAAGCTGTGAGAAGTAGACTGCGAGAGGAAAATGTACGCCGACGTCGCCATCACGTTGGTTTGCCTCTGACATTGCAACGATGAGAACGTCGTATGCGATGGTTGACGGCACATGGGCGTAGATGTTTCTTTATATGACATTGGAGGTTCATGCTGTTCACAGATGAATCTCGATTAACGTTATTTCGATCAGATGGCCGTCAACGTGTGTACCGGCGTCGAGGGAGCATCTTGCAGAAGCTTGTGTTTTGAAGCACGACAGATTTAGAGTTGAATCGGTTTTGGTTTGGTGAAGAATTTCACATGCTTTAAAGACATCTTCAGTGATAATTAATGGGATCATCGTCTCTATTGATTGGCAACCATATAGCCTCGATTTGGCCCCGATCGAACTTTTGTGGTATGAATTAGACAGAAGAGTTCGGAATCGACCAAACATCCGAAAAAACCTCCTGCATTCGGCCTACGCACTTACTTTGGAATGGAATAACATGTCTCTACGGACAGTCAATGTCCGTATGAACTCAATGCCACGCAGAATTAAAGACGCTGCAGCTGTTCAAAGAGGGCACACTCGATATTAGGGATGGGTCTGACAACCGCTGTTATTTCAACGTTGTGTGCATAAGGGTACCCTAATTCATGACGGTCTCAAGAACACCTCGTTTGTTAATAATCCTAGGCATGTTGGTCTTTAATAATAATAATAGGCATATTGCTCATAAACTTTATTTTATGATACCGTATAGTTAAAGTTGCGGTCCTTTTTCCTCTGATTATATATTATTTTTCCCGGTTGAAATACACTTACCGGTACCATCTGAAGGGCACCAGATACCAGACATAGGTAGAACGATGTACCGAGGGAATGATGACCTTTTTCTTGCAAGAACAGCAGACATGACGAAACCATAAGAGATCCTGTTGAAGTAGAGTAACGTCAATTAGGTTATATGTTTGCATTTTGCTAACACATTTATATTTTCCAAAATAGACTACGTAGATATATGGATAACGGTGTCCAGTGTGGCTCCTTCAGTCGGCAGCAACAAATACAAAATACAAAATTAAAGAAAACAATGCGCGTGAACTCAAACAACTACATGCAGACATTGACACAACCAGAAAATATTTCCATTATGCATATGTCAAATACAAAATTGAATTCTTCGTCTAAAATGTACGATCACCCACATTCTCTTAATGTATACACTAGAGATATCAAACACAGGACATTCTAATCTAAAGCATATGAAAATCATAAACAGGTCGTGAGTAGAAAAGTGTACCACACGGATCAGAACGATATTCTTGAACAAGAAGGGTTTGAAACACGCAAAAAATCAAAGCATATATGAACCTGCACTTCAGAGAATTAACGCGAAGGGCAGATAATTGTTCCAGTATATAAGGTATTGAGTATCTGCATTCAGCACTACGAATAATTTCAGATCTTTCCTTAGCAGTTGTCATAGTATGATACCTACCACTGGCAAATCCAACAAAAAACACAGATCTTGTTGATAGATAATGGAATTTGACGCCATTGAAAAAGATGATGATTGTTGCCACACTGCCTCCAATTGCACCTAGTATAGACAACAATCCCAAAACGAGAACTGCAATCAAACCTTCGGTCACGGCTGTGAATAAATGAACAAGCAAAATAGGTTACCTAAATCGTCATGTTAAAAACAATGAACAAAAGACCAACATGTCAACTTAATTCCATTTCAAACACAAGTAATATGTGCAAAATGGTCGAAAGATTAACATAGGGACCCCTGAAAAATGTCCAAAGAAAACAAGATAATATGTTCTGGATAGGTAAGCGTTTTCTACTTCATTGATGACACTCTCCATGGAAATAAGATTTAAAAAATAAGGCCGAAAGATTAACACGGAGACACCAAAAATATACATGGAAAATAAGATAACTTGTTTTGCAAAATCGGGCGTCTTCTGCTTCGTCGACGACACTTGTCATGGAAATAAAATGTGATAAATAATGCCGAACGATTTGCACAGTAAGGTTTGGGAAAGATCAACGGCCAGAAATGATGAGCATTCAGATATTGTTTTAGCGTCATTGCTCTTAAATCTGATAAATAGCTTATTACTAGGTAAACAATATTTTTATGCTCAGATGTAATTAGTAAGATTAACATTTTAGGCAACAAGATCAGTGCATACCTGTCTGCACCTTAAAGAAGACATATACTTGTACAAAAACGTAAAAGAGCTAAATATCCATGAAAAAAGGAAGTCACTATAGAAGTTATAAATAGCGAGTTGTAGACATCGGATACACTTGTTTATGTCGCAAGCAATGAAAGCTAAGCCTGTAGCATTCCACCTTGCTAAAATATTCTATTCTATAACAAAAAAAAATTGTTCACTTTAACTTTGAATTCCTGACGTGTGACGTGTACCTTTTCTAATATGAAAACTTTATGAGAGTTTGTTCGTCCATGCATCGCCTTAGTGTACTAAGGCTATTCAAAATAAGGAAAACGATATGTGTAACTCTCATAATAAAAGGGTACAATTTGTCTTAATGTGTTGATATTTTTTATGTTACAGGTGTCTATATATTAAAGAATTAATAAAAATATGTGGTGAAGGTCTTTAATCAATGTGAAGTTTGCTTTCGTCAGTGTTCAAGAATATAATCTAAAATGAGATGCATGTATAGATTATCGTCCTTAAGTTCCTAATTTTACATTATTACTCTTTCGTATTGACAAATATAATAGTTTCTTATTCTTTCTGTCTATGAAGTTAACTTTCCTATACTTACATCCTTCCGAAAACCATGCTGCTGTATGACAGGAAGTAACATTGTTTTGTTCACCACAACAATCATAGAAGAGTCCACGATCGGAACACACTTCATCAATGAACCAAAACGGAGAGAAAAATCCGAAAACACAACAAATAGTGGTTACAAGCGTCAACGAGAAGAGAAACCGCCAGGTAGCATCCGCATGTGAACCTCCTTTTAGAAGTTTCTTTAGTTTATTGATAATTTCCATTTTGTAAGAATACACTCAAATCTGCAAGGTGATAACTATCCCTTTGTCCCTTTGCTGAATTATATATATATGCTGAAGGGTAACAAAAGATTACACGCGTGTCTCCATTGTCTCCATTATATGAAAATTGCTGTCTTCCAACGATGTCCTGTAATGTTTTAGTCTATGTTATCTGTTGTGAAAAGTGCGAATTATAGCAGGTTATGTCAATCACACACACTTTATCGCCTGTTACAAAATCAGTGTATAGATGTGTTTGAAATACATATTCATGACACGGATGTAAACTTTAAAAATTAGACACGATAAGAATAGAAAGACAAGACGATAAGAAATGTGTATATATTTCATTCAAATTAAGTACACGTTTTATCTTTTGAACCTGTTTTGTCCTGCTCGAGTGAACACAACGATGTTATTTATATGGCAGGTGCACAAATATACAAAATGTTTATTGGTGTTTTGATTTCGTACTCGTAGTCATGATATTCACATCTCGCCTTACAGCAAATCATTGTCATTTTATTCGGAGGTAGTGCAATTTAAACGATGCAAGCTGTATATTCTATAAGAAATGCTTATGGTGGATGACGTCAATACGACCGCATTGTGAGTGTCTTTAAATACACTATGCGCAGGTAAAAAGGAACCTTAAACGATATTTCTTCATATTTATCAACCTACAACTTTACTGTTTAAGCTACTTAATCGTCTTAATTAATCGGTTAACAATGATAGAATTTCAGCATATCAACAAAGACAATTGTGCACGCAGTTTTGTATAAGATACAAAAACAAAGATATATTTCAATTGATCTTTATTGCAAAAGAGGCGCAGCAAAAACACAAACTATGATTTACATATACCAAACGTTAGTTTATATTACTTCTGATTTATACCACAAGATATGTGCATGTTTTAACTAAAACAATTTTAGGGAAAACAGTTAAAGGTTTAACTTAAGAACAAGTATATCCAGTCTAGTATCATAAGTAGTGGGTAGAGTCTTCCTATTTTCGATGGCTAAACCCATCACTAGAAACTGTCCAAGTTAGGACAAATACATGGATATAATAGAAGCTTCAACATACATTAACGAATTACTGAGAATGACTGTCACACATCTAATATGCAAGAAACGCAGAACTATACATTTTGACATGCTATGCATTGTCTCTAGTGTCAATGATGAAATACATATCCCTTAACCAACCTTGTGCTGGTTCGTTGGTGATATAAAACAGAGTTATAAAAAACGCAATGACCAGGTATTTTTTAAGTCTAGAACTAAACAAACGTAAACGCAGTAGTTGACACAAATACATGTATGTAATTTTAGCTCTCGCTGCGATGTCTGCTTCTATGATGACTCACCTCCCAGTTAGATTTATACATTACATAGGAACACAGGTTATTAAAGTTTGTCAGTGTTCACGTCACGTGGTTTCCCACTAAAGTTCACCCTCATACTTATCAAGCGATCCTGTTAACAAGATTGCACTCCTACTGCAAAAAATTACTTTACCTATAATATAATGATAGCAACACTAGTAAAGCAATGAAAGTATATTTGTTATTCGCTCGTTATATACACCCTATATGTATTTGTTGCATGTGTTGATACACATGCATTGCTTACGTTCGATAAATAGTCTATACAGTCAACATGGTAAACATGTAACTATCAATAGCTTATGTCGGCAAATGGATATAGATGCTGTAGCTGTTTAAAATAATGTACATGTAGCGACACTATCGTGAAACAGATTGTACATCACTATCTGGTTGTTTGCAACTAAATGCTGGATATATAGCTAGTTACAGCAAAATCAACGTCACACTGCTACAGTGCAGTTACGTTGATAGTGTCACATACATCAATATAGTGTTAAAATTGTTATTACTTATTAAATTCCACCATACTCGGGGTCCGTCAGTTGGTGACTGCCGAGTGCGTTCATAGTGCCGTATACTTCGTAAACATGACGCTCATTCGTTATGTATAACTCAGTGTTCATGACTTATTTTCCATGTTTGTCTCTGACAGAGTATGCGTGCGTGCGTGCATGCATGTGATTCTTTCCGTTTAGTTTCTTATCGGTCTAAACAAAACAAAAACTATCCTAAAAATGTTTTCAGACGTTTCGTAACTTCCACTGAACAAATTGGACATGAAGTACGCTGCATCCCACATGGCTCACATGTGACTCTATGACCGCATGATACAAAAAGAATACATCTTTCACTTTGTCTGCACTCGACACATAGATTTCGTGTTTTCAGGTAATTGTTCTCGGAAGCCATTGCCTTTGGTGCTAAATAAATAAAAACCAAAAACTTCCAATAACACTCTACATGACAGGCGGGTAATTTTTGAAACATTATACAAGGATACACTTATAAATAAGATTTTATTTTAATTTCCTGTTAAGTTCATGAGCAATTTTCATCCTTTGTCAATAAAGATATCCATAAGATTTAAAGAAAAATGTAATTCAACATGAAAATTAGTTTTCCTCATGAAAGCGTTTGCAGTTAATGTACTTACACAACTTGAATTCGTCAGAACTTGAGTAGGAATCTGTAACAGAACAGTAAATGCTATTTCATTTCAACAATATTGTAATATGGTGTATCTTTAGTTAACAACGAGTGACCAATGACGATTGATTCAACAATCGATTAAGTTGGCACTTCCATACTTCTTCAAAGGATAAAATATTTGAATTCTTACTTGTACTTTATGTAGAGTAACATGAGCTCAGTAATTTGGAGTTTGCCAAGATATATATGATATTTATTCAATAACCCATTAGACCCCTAATGGCAGAATAAATCGCTCGCTATACTGGTAACAGTTTAATGCAATTCAAGCATGACATGTGAGGTGATCAGTATTATTATGGGATTTTCAAACTACCTGTTTGAATTTGAAAGATATTAACAAATTAATTTAATTTCATTACAGTTGAAAATATAAGAGACAGGAATGTTCATTATTTGGGATCGTAAAGCACACGTATTTAGTTCAAAGGTGAATAGATCATTTTTGTGAAAAATACTTATTAATGTAATATTTTTTGCAGATTACTGATTTTGAATAATGAACATTCAGCATTTTTGTTAGAAAAATGTTTAAGTTCGTACCATATTCATCCGTCTCGAGCGATGACTCTTTCTCTTCCAGCTCAAACAAACAATCCATCAATTCCGCTGCATTCAAGTCACGTGTACCTGAAATTGGATTTTGATTTACTTTATTTCAGTTACTCATTGAAAACAATCAGAAGTTTATAGACATGAATACTCATCTGATCAACTATATATAGGTTCTAAACTTACACCGAAACACATTTCATGAGACATTTGAAATGTTTTTGTTTTAAATAAACATCATGAACTATTTCAATATTTTCTGAGAGAGACTAATGTAGATACTTGCAGGGGGCATAGGAGTGCATATATTATCACGTCCTAAATCTGACTCATATTGAGAACATGTCTATTGATTTACCTGATTCTTCTATGCGGGCATTGATTGCTTTCTTTATCATTCTCCTTTTGTAGCCAAATATCTTAACGCTCTCCACTGCAGCCGACATCATTGGATTTTCCAAATCTCTTATCCGATACTTTTCTTCAAATGTGGGTTCAGCTTCATTAAAACAACAAATATCAAAAATAGATAATCGATCGATATGTTTTGTTTGCAATGTGGTAAGAACTTAGCAGTTTAAAAGAAAAGCAGTTTTGTGATATAACTACTAGAAATAAGAGGATGTAATTTCCGTTTGAAAGCAATTTGTATTTCATGAAAATGTCACAAAAGTGAAACCATACCGGTATATTCTTTCTTACGTCGAATAGTTCGACATCGTTAGATTGCATAACAACTTCTCAAAACATGAGTGTCTTGTCAGGTGTTAACAGTGCACACGAAACACCATGTTTCTTTTGGATCGACATTTATCCAACAATGCTAAGGTTATAATTTGATAATTATCCAGTAAAATGTTCCATATCGGACAATGAAGTTGATTCCCAAAGACATTCTTTAATGACCGAACTTACCTATTACAGGTGGTTGGGAAATTGCAGTTAAAGTTTCCCCTGCCTCGTCAGTATCCTAGTATAACCATATGACCAGAATTAGTTTTATCTATTCTTACATCTTAATCCATGTCATATTTTCACTTCGATAACATTGATGACACATGTTTATATATTGATAAGTTTCGTTCTAATCATAAAATACCTAAACACATGAAAATAACCCATCCTTAATAATAAGCCCATCCTGGAAAAAGCCTGTTTTTTCTTAATTGTGAAGAAAATAAGCTCGGGCATATCCATGAGATATCTCAATAATCAGATAAAGGACAACGTCCTCCTTGTACCTCTTAAATATGGAGTAATAATGAATCGCACAAAGAACCGATGTGCGCAGCGGTCATGATGGATATTATTAATTTGATCTTTTTGATGACAGTCTAGCTGAATATTGATATTTTTTTTAAATAGCAATTTTAAGAAAGCTAAAACTGTATGAAATAGTGACGTGTCATGCTAATTCGAGGTCCCAATGGTCGAAGTCGTGGCAGGACATATTTACCTCATGTCGGGCTGCTGACTGTATAAATGATGGACCTTTGACTTTGATGACAAATTTACAGAAGGGAAACCATCTCGCGTGTTCCGTCCATGGGTCATCGTTTGGTTCCCACTCCCGGAGACCACCGTCACAGTAATGGCACCGGACAGTGTCCGTCACACCTTGACGTCGTAAGGCATCAGAAAAATGAACCAATACAGTCAATATATCTTGTATTTTCAAATATATGTGAATTATTAATAATTAATATGACACTTTCATTCCATTCTGCAGCAAACCGTCATCATCGAACGTAGCAAACTGAGTTGAGGTTTTTTCATATACATGGGTAGTGCATTATTCGCTGTTATTTTTTTTTTTTTTTTTTTGAAGATTTATTTGATGATTTGGTTCGATATAAGGGAATAAGGAGGTAAATGAACTGGTGTTGTAACATGTTAATGCGAACAGTTAAGAAATGCACCCGATGAACTAAGTATTGACATCAGACATCTTTCATCGGTAAAACACGTTTACCTAGTGGTTGAATGCTACCTGTGTAAAACAATCCAGCCTCTGCCAACTGTTGTGGTGTCTGAGTAACGTAATCCTGGGGCCATGAAGGGCCATATGATTCGAGTCGCATGTTCATTTGACACATATGGGGATGCTTAGGGGTGTATATCTGCAATAAATAGAGGGAATATATAATAGATAGCATGAACTGAGCAACTAATCCAATGTCGATCTATACTGTGTTTATTATTAACTGCATGCCAGCAATATGCGAGATTAGTAGTCAATGTTCTGAACAATTTCAAACGGCTATCCTCCTATATTTATATACGGAATTATTAAGACACGCTTTCTAAACAGATTTAGAAAAGAGCATTGTCAAGCCTACATGTAAATAAACATGTTTTAATTCACATTCGCTGTCATTCTAATAACCGATTGACAACTGTTATCATTAAAAGTTAAAAGTTCTTCTTTCAGCAAATACAACGTTAAACAAACTTCGCGGTTAGTATGAGAATGACATTATGATCAAATCACTTCAGTCGACGTTCAAATTCAGATCATTATTGGTGTTTGTCTTTAGCTTGTAGAAGTACTTGTCATATCGCTAGGTACTGTAATATTATAAACATAACTCTATATTAAAAGGTAGTAACTTATTTAAATGTGCATATCTATCGAAGTCTTTCTCTATAATTTCCCCATTTACCTGTGCCCAACGTCGCTGGATATTCATGATGAAATCTCCGTCTTTCTTTTCTCTCAGGAAAGGGCAATCTGGACTATGACGTGCATGTTCCACCCAGGGGTCATCATCAGAGTCCCATTCCGCCAATCCGATGTCACAATGGAAACACCTTACTATATCTTCTTCGCCTTATTTTTGAAAAGTGTTATAATCAGTAAGATTAGGAAGAAAGGGATCGTATTTTTATTTTCAATTCAATTCAATCTTCATAGAAACTGATATTAAATATTCTGTTTTGTTATTAGAATACGCAGTGTCATCACACCTGATTCGTCATTCTTTTTTTTTAACTGAATTCACGCAAGCTTTTCCAAACAACGTAATATTATTTACCTTTGTAATTTTGAAAAGTTACCCATGTAAATATTTTTATATAGATAACTACTAACCGGTGAAGAAGAATCCAGCTGATGCCAAAATGTCTATGTCTTGTGATCTTCCTGGCCAATTCCTGAATGATTCTCTTCTGGATACTTCCAAGCATTGGTCTGGATTTCGTGGTGCATATTCTGATGTGTTGGTTACATCTGCTATGGCGCCTTGGCTATCCTCAGTTGGTATGTTAGGACTTATTGTACTTACATCCCTCGCTTCGTTATTGCTTTCAAGAAGTCCGTTTCCACTTCCTGCTGTCTCATCTGAAACATTTTCTCTTCGCAAAAAGGTACAAAGCGGTGAACGTCGTGAATGGAACGTCAACGGGTCGCTATTGGTGAAATCGTTGATATCTGCATGCAATCCACACGACAGACAGCAAACTGTATTGCTGTTACTATTACTGCACTGAAATCCTGCCCTAGCGAGTGTACTAGGTGATACAATCGAATCGTTCGGCCAATCTCGGTACGTGTTTATCACCGACAATGACGGGATGTCCTGATTGCTAGCAATATTACCCTGTAGGGGGTATATCGGGATTGGACGTAGCGGTAAGGTCGAAAAAGTATGCTTCATTTGATTCATTGGATACTTTGGTGTAGGAAAAACACCTTGATCCTCTAAATCTTGCAAAGTTCTTCTGATTAATTGACTCAATACGTCATTGTTTGTAATTCCAAGCGTTCTTTTGGGCAACATTTCGTTTTTAGATGACGTTTCTGGAACCAAACGAGCCGATCGTTCTCTGCTGCACAGCACGTGCTGTTTTGACATTCTCAGATGATGGTCAAATTCATCAATATCACCTTTGTTGGTATATTGCTGTCTTGTTCCAATAAATTTGACAACATTTAAATACTTGTAACCGGTTTGACGGCTTTTATGAACAGGAACTTGGCATGACCTTCCACTATTTGTTTCGGCATCGCTCAGAATTTCATAATCAGGAGGATGTTTGATGTATTCAAATTCTCCGTAACCTCCTTTTGAAGTCTCAGTAAAGCTGAGTGTTACTGCATATTCATCGTTACTACACGGTTGCTGCTCTTCAAATAATGGAGTTGCTTTCTTCGCTGAGTAACTGAATACAACATTTGGAGGCAAAGTTATTATTGTTGTGCTTCCGTTTTTATCTCTGGATGGGGAGCTCGGAATCTTTGTTATATTGTCTTGCCTGGCCTGTCGATACCTTCGTAAATACGAAAGAAAGGTTTTATTACGTTACACAATTTCCGTTTTATTCAGTCATGACAGCGACGTCATATATTTGCATATGAGTTTACGTCACCATTTGTGACTTAATGAAATTACCTCACACGCTAATAGTATCCAATTACGTGGTCATGGGGAAAGCGGACATAGGTTTTCTCCTTTACTTTGAGTAACAGAATTGTACATTTTGAACATTAACTTGATCTACCGTTTAATGAAAAGCACAAAATACAAAGAAATCAGAAATGAATAAGAATTTCACAAGTTTTCGTCATTTGTAATACATACTTTTCTTCTTCGTTTTGATAAATGTGATCGTTTCTGAAGACTGAAGAACCTATAGAAAACAGGAATCATCATAAAATTATATCGTTTTTAATGTGCATAGATTAGTGGGCGATGTATGTATGTATGTATGTATGTATGTATGTATGTATGTATGTATGTATGTATGTATGTATGTATGTATGTATGTATGTATGTATGGATGGATGTATGGATGGATTGGGTGGTGGTTCGATGAGTGTATGTATGTATGTATGTATGTATGTATGTATGTATGTATGTATGTATGTATGTATGTATGTATGGATGGATGGATGGATGATGATGTATGTATGTATGTATGTATGGATGTATGTATGTATGTATGTATGGATGGATGGATGGATGGATGGATGGATGGATGGATGGATGGATGGATGGATGGATGGATGGATGGATGGATGGATGGATGGATGGATGGATGGATGGATGGATGGATGGATGGGGTGGTGGTTCGATGAGTGTATGTATGTATGTATGGATGGATGGATGGATGGATGGATGGATGGGGTGGTGGTTCGATGAGTGTATGTATGTATGTATGGATGGGTGGATGGATGGGGTGGTGGTTCGATGAGTGTATGGATGTGTGGATGAGTGGATGGATGGATGGATGGATGGATGGATGGATGGATGGATGGGGTGGTGGTTCGATGAGTGTATGTATGTATGTATGGATGGATGGATGGATGGATTGGGTGGTGGTTCGATGAGTGTATGTATGTATGTATGGATGGATGGATGGATGGATGGATGGATGGATGGGGTGGTGGTTCGATGAGTGTATGGATGTGTGGATGAGTGGATGGATGGATGGATGGATGGATGGATGGATGGATGGGTGGGTGGGGTGATGGTTGGATGAATGTATGGATTGGTGGGTGAGTGGATGGGTTGGTGGATGGATGGATGGATGAGAAATACTAAAAACCTGTCAATTACGTAAGCATAAAGTGTTCTTATTGCTGTTGAGTGCCCGACTAATCACTTTTGCATCTTTACAGAAAAAAAAAATTTTCATTTGCTAATGTCAATAAGATTCGTCGATGGTCCATCCATAAGAATTTAGTTTGTTTTTTTTCAGTATTTTTTATTATTAAAATTATCTTAAAATGTTTTTTGTATAATTTCAATATTTTTTTTCTATTATTATTATTTTTTTGATGATCTCCCCTGTATAATATACTAGCAAAAATGTTTGTTTTATAGTTTTACAAGAAAAGAAGAAGTCGATAACATTTCGTTTTCTCTTCATCAGAATATCTATAATGTTGATTGGTACGCATCACAAATATGACCTCATCATAAAGATTTGAAGACATTTGTCGTTCCGGTATTTTAAGCCTAATTTTCAGAATCAGAAAATACATATGATGATGAACCTTGCGTAATGAATATTCACGAACAAGTTAGACTCTGTGTTTTATAGTATCACGAATAAGTAGCTGTTGTTCATATTAGATATATTTACTTCATTTTTAAAAAATACAGCTACTTAAATGGGCCATCAACATATGACAATTTTTGCATAGTCAAAATCTCTGCTGCAATAGTGAAATCTGTAGAAAAAAGCAGTCAGCACAATTAAAAATAGATAAGATTCAGTTTGAACTTGAATTAGTATGACTTGCTCAATATATATTTACACACACATTTTCGGTTATAAATAAATATTTTAATTTATGGGGTTACATATGGTGATCATGTAATTCAAACCAATTCTTGTGGTGTTGCTTTCAACCTTCGACGTTTTTACTTGATACAAGACTTGCCCCAAATATGTCAGAGTAGAAATTGTAATATATATTATATATATTACTTTTTTCTAATATATTGATGTTAGTGAGATACTACTGCAGATCCCTGGATTAAAATCTTGACTTCAGATGTTGATAGAAACGTACATGGTTTTTTTTTTTTTTGTATCATAATCTCTGAAATTAATATTACCAAAATATCAAAATTATCATTTTGCTGTTTAAATAGGATTTATTTGCATTCACACTCGACAGTGTTTTGAATGCAACATATTAAGGCTAACACATGGGTTAAATCATACGGGAATAAAACTCAAAACTTGTATATGTATTGTTTTATGGTAAATGGGAAAATGCAACATACACGGTACATAAATATTGCTGTTCAGTAATATGGTATTTACAAAAAATCAAATTTCTAAAACTACATCAGTTCTTTCTTTGGTGGCAACCATACAATTATCTTTTGTTAGCTCACCTGGCGTCAACTTTTTTCCTTTAAACAACTTCTTCTGAATAATCAACTGACTAAATGTTTTAGAATTTGGCTGGTATGTTCCTTTGCTGCAGCCCAACAAAGTGTGCGAAAAGAAATGACCATGACTTTTATTAAGGTCACAAGGGTCCATTGTTTTTTTCAAACTTTTAAACGACTTAACATGATCTAAAACGCCTAGAGGAATGATATTTGTCTGGTATGTTCACTGGATGAAGCTGTACAAAGTTTGCGAAAAAAAAATTAATATGAATAATATTTATGGTCACAGGGGTCAAATTTGTTAATTTGTTTGTGAAAACCTTTACCCAACCTCTTCTCATGAACTAATATGCCTAGAGGCATGCTATTTGACTGGTATATTCACTGGATGAAGCTGTACAAAGTTTGCGAAAAAAAAATTAATATGAATAATATTTATGGTCACAGGGGTCAAATTTGTTAATTTGTTTGTGAAAACCTTTACCCAACCTCTTCTCATGAACTAATATGCCTAGAGGCATGCTATTTGACTGGTATATTCCTTTGATAAAGCTTGACCAAGATGCGAAAACAATAACCTTGACTTATATTCAAGGTCACAGGGGTCAAATTTGTTCAAACTTTTAAACAACTTCTCATGTACTGATAGGCCCTGATATTTGGCGAGTAAATGTACGGAAGGAGTTAAGTAATGTTACTAAAAGATAAAAAATGCAATGATTTCAATACAATGCTATTCTTGTTCAAAGAATGATCAGTGAATATTCCAGCCTACACGCTCTGAGAGAACCATTCTGGTTTTGTTGTGATACCGAGAAACTCACAGATTTTGCAGAGCGAAACACTCATAGATATGCTTTATCCCATTCTAATCTGATAAGAAATGCTTGTTATTTATGATGATTGTGGGATTATGAAGAAGATTTTCTAAAGCGGAAGTAGGCGAAATTTATTAATCTTTATTTACACAAGAAATTAATGGTACTTACTAAGAGCTGACGACTTCATCCTTTCTGCTTTCCTGTTGTCCCGTTGTCCTTACTATAACCGTTTAATTTTAGAAAACATATCTTTTCTTTATTTCATATACAATAGATATGACATATGTATATAAATTTGCCTTTAAAACAGCAAAAAAATACCAACACGTCAACATAATTCAATAAAAGTAGGGCAAAAACATGAACAACACTAATTAACACGGGGACTCCTGAAAAAGGACCAGCAGAATAAAAGCAGGTGTTTCGCTTCGGCCGCGACACCAGTCACGTAAGTCTTGGTCAATCCGAGTAAGTAAAATCTCGCTATATAACAACGGAACCAGATGACGAACTAACGAGCATCAATCACTCCTAGCTTCATGTCGCACAAAGAAATAGAATATTTCTCGATGCAATTTTCATGACGACTGTAAAACTTCCCCATAATTTTCAGCAACCTGCATCTTTTAAAAAAAATCCCATGTTACGAGTTTTTCCGTCCTTGATTTCCAATTCAGTGCGATTAACATGGTAAACACTTCCTTCCTATTTAAAGACAGGACGTCATCAATGTATCTAAGTGAAATTAAACGACTTTGCAAAGTATTTGTGACTTATTTTGATAAGCTCTTCGATAAATGCAGTCTCGTATGCAATCAAAAACAATGTCAATAGTATCTTGGAAGATCTTACCATGAAACTCTACAAAGACGTCAACCAAAATCTCAACGATTTTTATTTTTTCGTTCTTCTGATATTTTTTCTATGATTTTTCACGAAATACGGTTCAGTATAGTTCACAAACATATAATTGTACCGCCATTCACCTTTCGTGAAAATGAAAGCCCTCTAAACAAGAAGCCGAGGCATTCCTTCAGTTAAGAATGGTTGAGGTAGTGTACAGCGTTGAAAAATCAAATATTCTTAAAGAAGACATGTTGTCAAACGACGGTGTTGGAGATTGGTTAAAGGCTCTTTAAATATCTTTAAATCCATTTACTATTAATTCCACTTCATGAATAACGGTATCACAATTAAACTGTACGCCAGATTTGATAGAGCTAAGATTGAATAAGGCGTTCGTTTATATAGCTTCTTGTGAAGTTTAGGAATAAGTAATAATAGGTAATTTAAATGACTATAATACAGAAGCATGATTAGTTAGTATTCCCACAGCAACAGCAACAACTGTATGATTCATGATATAAGTGGAAACATTTGGATGACATTATCCAATGCTAATTTAAGAAACGATTTTTATGATTCCTGATGTAATAGATAAACATTAGTTATACATCGTGTGATTCACAGAGTGAAAGATGATCACGGCCCAGTATCCCCTCTTCCAAATATACGATATGATCACGAGGATGGAACGCGACATTACTCTTAACTGAAGGGTTCGAGGCTACGAGAGTATCACATACATTTTCAGATACCCTCGTAAACCAAGGGCTTGTGTGAAAAAAATGCAATGAACGTGTTCGCTTCGTGTCTGATTATAGACACAATACATAGTGATCCAGTTTTTATATATTATACAAAAGACACACAAGTGAGTAACACATTTTAACACAAATTAGAAGTATCAGGCGTAATCATCACAATGGCCTTGTTTTTAACATCGCGTTCGCAAATTATTGCAAATAATGTCACTGTGTTTCTTTAACCCTTGAGTATTAATTAAACATGTTTCCGGGAATTCTCTAGGAATATGAGGAAATGGATCAATCCATTCTTTTGCGAAGGCTGCATATTTTCTTATATGGAACGCAAAACGTTTTTTTATTCGCGAAACGTTTCGAACAAATATTTATTTAAAAACAAAAACGCAGTCGCAAAAAAACAACAGGTATCATTCTGAAGCGTAAAACCCGATTACAATATATTTCATAATCCGATAATGAAAGCTAATTAAGATACAAAAATAAAAATTGAAATATCATTTGCTACCTAATCAAATAACACATGTCTCGCATAATTAACTAATGTCTCTGAAATCAGTATTCAACTGTACCATGAACTTTAAAACGCCGCGAATTGTGTCAAACGGATTTCCCACCTTTTAAACCTAAACTTAGTGTTCTGGAAAGTACCTTTACTTAATATATCAAATGTATTTGTAGGAGGTAGATTTGATAAGTTACTTCACTTATTAGACACAGCTTGGTCTGTGCATATCGCGTATTTTTTAACATCGAATTTGAGCATATTTAAAAAAAAAACTTTTATCATTTTATGTGATTTTAAAATTTAGTAATTTCAGACGGTAAAGCAATCGATTTAACAGTAAAATCGTTTAAAATCAATAAACCAAGCATGTTTCCTTTAACATTTATGGGAAATGTCTACAGCCTTAATGTTATCTTAAGTAGAATTTTCATTTAATTTTATGCCTTGTCATTGTTACGTTGTCCAAGAGCTGTGTAGCTTTTATCAACAGAATAGAAGTTCTATTGATCAAAATCCGCAAGGAAATACGAGTCATGTCCGTATGTATTACGTTAGTTTTGGTAAACCAAATGACAGCGACATAAATGACTGAACATTCATTTTAGACTGGATTACCATAGTCAAAGGAAATAACAACCTACCATGTATAGATATAAACTATTATGTTTAACCATAAGGTACGTACCTGATTCATCCACAATTTCCCAACATAAGTGTATGATGCAAGTGTCTTGCCTATGATATATTTACAGATTGCTATTTATATCCAGGGTTTTTCCACTTACGTACGTACGTATGTGTGTATGTATGTATGTGTGCATGTACGTATGTACGTATGTGTATATGTGTATGTATGTGCGTGTGCATGTATGTATGCACGCAGTATTACATGTATGCTGGTATGTATGCACATTTCACTATGTATAATGTATCTGATTATTTGCAGACAATATGTAACAATGTATCTGATTGTATCAAAGCGTGTTACTACTCAGTATTGCAAAATATCGGTGATTGCACTACTCTCGCATACTTCACATGACAGTTCTCTTTTTGCCATGGTGAAGATAAATCTTTCGCTTCAGTCCCCTTTACATACCTCGAAAGGGATATCCGATATTATCAATTATAATCAAACACTATACTCTCCTGTTTCAAAAACAATTTTAAAAAGTCGTGGTGAAGGAATCTGACAATACCCTATCAGGAAGTTCTACATTCCCTTCCTCGTGACTAGCTCATTTATTGTGTAAAATACTATCAGTGAATAATACAATGACATACATGCCACATGTTTCGGAACCGATAACTTGTTTATAGAGTCCGTTTTATATTTCCCTTGTGACATAAGATATGACCGTCGTAGTGAGCCACGGTATCAATATGTAATACTGGTCACTTGTAAGAGCAACAACCGCAAATAAAGATAAAATTATATAGACTAAACAGGATTCCACATTTTATACACATACACAATATTTTAGTCCTATAAACTATAACGGGAAAACACTGTCGCGGACCAGCGCAACAACCTGTAACTCTCTCCCTCCCTCTTCTACCTGCTGGCCATAGTATCTATAACATGTTAAATTACTCACACATTCATGAAATATTATAAGCATTCATCTAAGGTTGATGTAGTCTGTTTTCCTAAAGTTTGTCTCAAATGCACAAAACTTTCTCCGCAGAAAGTTCAATCGAAAAAAAAAATAAATAAATTGAATACATCGGATAAGTCGAATGTTTTGTTCGATCCCGATTTTCTCTCTTCTTTATCGGAGTACAATATACGTATTACTTCCTATATCGATTTCGAGTTATGTGTATGGGAGTGTGTGCGTATCCACACGTGTGCATCAGTTCATTGACGAGTGTTTCAGATTACGTGTTTTGTTTTATATTCGTACTTATAACTGTTTATTTAAATAAAAGTTATCGTTAGTGTGTGAAAATAAAAAAAAAAAGTTCCATCGAGTCCTACTTTCGATAGTCAGTCTGACTATAGTTGCAGGCCTATTACAAGAAAGGATGAAATTACAATAAGACATTAGGTTTTTTTATAATAGCTAAGACTAATGCACAATGCTATCATGGTTTATCATACAATTTCCTATATTAAAGAGGGAAGCAGAATAGTGTGAAACATCACAGTCTAATCTTATAATGGTTGTGTTAAAAGAATGTATTTTCTATTGATAATAACTAACATGACGAAAAA